ACTAAGAGGGTCGGTTGGTTATGATTATGTGGTGAAGCTTGTTGACTTGGTTGATGTATGTCATTGTATCCTAATTGCGTAGATTGATGCTCATGATGTGAAACACTGGCTTGTCTGGTCCAGACTTGACCATCTACAGACTGCTGGCACATAGCTAGAATATTGCCAAACAACAAACAAAAACGTAAGAACTGCCACCCTTATTTATGTAACATTCATGCAATAGTTTACTATTACACTAACATTGTGATCACTAGTGTAGACAAGCAGTCTATGCTAAAAACTTTTGAGTCCACAAGCCCGAACTTGGCTCTTCGCATCATTTTCATTAAATTGTAGTGTTATCATATAGAGTTTATAAGTTGATCTTACGAAACTGAACAGAATTTGACTCTGGCTTCGGACTAGTGACTAACTTACTGATTTGACATGTCAGAGGAATATCAACAGCCAGTACACCACGATATTTTTGTTTTTTAAGCATACAGACAGGATTTCAAATCTATATCAATGATATCTATTGCCTCTATCAGCACTGAATGAAAATAATTGCTTAGATTCTTGCTAGAGGTTGGTCCTGTTGGTATGGCTCATTTCTTCAATCAAATGTCTGGTTTGGCTCCAGACTCATTATATATAATTCAGGCAGTGAATCTAGTGACCCGTGAAGCTGTCACATTCCAGTGAGGTGACCAGTTAATTCTGTCTACAGAACTACATTGCCATGAGACAAGCAAGCTAGAGTATAATATGGCAAGCCCATAGGTAGCCCATGGCAAAATTCCTTGAGGCACACATTGTCTCCAAAACAACTTTACATAATAAAGAGTGTTCATAACAATGTGTAATATTGTATCAATGATCATGCAGTACTAATCACAGTACTATTGAAGTAGTCAAATGGTACAATCGTAATTACTATGCATGAAGAATCATCTGTCTTTTTTGTGAAAACAATACAGGTCTGAAGACCCACAATATGCAGTCACATGGTTCTAGACCTAATCTAGTCAACCGGTGTCGAAAAAGATGACACTCAGATCTAAGGAGCTCAGATTATTCAAACACTGGCTGTTTTTACTGAGACTCCTCTGACAAGTCTACATTTATGGACACTGTGTTAATGTAATGGTACACTATAACATGAATGTTATATAAATAACATGACTGTGGGTAGCAGTTCTATCCTGGTTTCAGCTGTTTTTGGTTATGTACAACTAATGTGCAGTAAAATTATAAACGTTTTAATAAAAGTATTTCATTTTTCCTTCATGTCACCAATGTCTGTCAAAGGGTATTCACTCAGATTTTAGCGACTGCACTTGTCCAACTCAGCTGTCGCTTGCCCCCATTGCTGCAGTGTCCCATATTTGGAAGATGTGTCCTATGTCACATGTTTTCGGCGATGACGTTTCACACAGAGAATGTACATTGCGCCGTTGATGAAAGTCAAAATTATGTTTCATACACATTAGTTGAATGTTTTTCATTAAAAATATAACCAATCTCTACGTAGTTCCAACATTATTCATGTTAATTGAGAAATATTGAATGAGTTATTCCAATTTGAAAGATTGGAGACATTCATGAGATTTTTGTTTTGTCATTGGCACACAGTGGTCACAAAGAAATTGTGTATGAGTCAGAGCTCCAGATAACTTTTTGAGCAATTGAGTTTTTACTCTCGGGTTCTTTTTTTAATTGGGTTATTACATTTTTCATTGGATAACCAATATTTTTTCTCTCATCTATTCATTACTCTATTGAGCTTTTTCCCAAAAAGAGTGACTATTTTAAGATTTAAAAAAAATGAAATAATGTTTTAGATGTATATAACTGTTCTAAATATATAGGCTTGTCTAGGAAAATAAATTATCTCGTAATTTTGTTTCGGAAATTAGCTCCTTTGTACACATGCTGAAAACATCTTCCCGAGGCAAGGGAGTTAACTGACTTTAAAAGTCCAGTTTCCACCCTTGCCGAACTAGGCTGGAATCCTGGGCTCGATCGTAGCGCCACCAGTGGTTATTATGAGTTATGTCCCTTCTGAGCCTCTCCTATGGACCAATCCGATTCCATCACTTGCATTTGTTTCAAACAAAATGGCAGCACCCGTCAAGACGATCTGATCGATAATCAGGATCTATATTGTGATAAAACATGTCCTACATCGCGAGGTACATCAGATCACGCGAGCACCCTGATCATGCTGATTAAAATACATGAAAAGGTTTGGAAAATATCTGTTCACAACGAGTTGGCAATGCACATGCTTTGCAAATCCTGCAATCAACCCAAATCTGCACGGCAGTTTACAAACCGGATTTCGATTTCGTTGCAAGATTTTGATTGGACTATGCATAGACTCGTTAGTCCAGCCAAAATGTAACTCCATAATACCAGCCTAGTTTGGCAAGGGTGGAAACTGGACTTTTATAGTCAGTTTACTCTCTTGCCTCGGGAAGATGGCTGGAAAAGCTTCATTGGGTATTTTATACATTTGAGTTTTTTTATTTAATGCATGCGTTTCTGTACGCAAGTTAATTGGGTCTTGAATATTGCGGGGGGGGTATTTTATGCAAATACTCTGCTTATCTGCAGCTCTGATGAGTGCAAACAAATCTCAACTTCGTGCAAAATAAAAGAATGTCTACATTTACTGCACTCTGCCTACTTTACAAATGAGATTGTTAGTGTGCCGTAAGGTGTCAGAAGTGAATTTCCCGCATTTACAAAAGACTTTGTTATCATTCGTCGCACTGATTGTGAAACTGTCATTAGGCGGGGAATACAGGTGTGGGCGTAGCTTTAGCAGCAGCGCCGCTCAACTAGATCTCTTCCTTTTCCCAAAGATATGTCCACGCCTGATGGTGTTGACTGGTCGGTACATGGATCATGTCGAGTGTCCTGTTTCCTCTTACGCTGATCCTGTTTGCCTACTTTCTTCTGTCTGTCCAGATGCTCTGTGATTTTGTCAAGTATGGTCAGTTTTTGCTTTCTTCAAGACTTCACCACCTTGGATCCTGAAAATCTTGTACAGTACAATTAGAATTGGCAACAACCGCATGCATTCCTTCTCAATTAGACAACTGGGGGTGCCTGGTAAAAGACTGGGCAGGTATGACCAGTAACTCGTCAACAACATCAGAGTTGAACGGGTTGATTCCAGATATTCTGAAGGAAGATACAATGTTAATAACTGTCAAAGTGGAATTAAACACTTTACACGTTAAGCCGCAAATGTCGTGTTTATTGATTGTTCTCCCGGACTTTTTTATGAGAAATAAATGACAGGCTCTAATCCAGGTGGTCTCAAAAGGACTGTAACACCAACTAACAAGCCCTGCAGAAGGTGACTAGTTTTGGGTGGAAGAACAAACAATATGATGTGATTTTGCCTCACTCATTCAGTCAAACCAAGTGACATGTTACTCTTGTGGCTGTCTCATAAAATAAGAAGGGGTGAATCTGAGTCACAAGCTGGGAAGAATTTCGCCCACGGATCCCTCACGTAGACGCTGAATATGTCTGTATTCGACTGTCCCATCTCAGACACAGTGCCAGAGGCTCCAGGAGTTGCTTCAGCCAACAGTTCTTCTCTGATCCATTGACCAGGAAGTAAAAAATAAGGAGAAACGGTCCTTCCAACAGCACTGACAGCTGCCATTATCGTGACTGTTTAAGACTTGCTGACATCAGTCTGTGGCTTGCAATTAACACTGACAACAATTTTTGGGGGTGTAACATAGGTTGAGAGGCCTTTCTCATCAATGTTAAAGACAGCATGAGGAGAATTATCCAACCTGTGTTTCTTTATGAACTGTGATAGCTCTTTAAAATACCTTGCAATGTTCTCCTGAGTTGCTGATCTCCCCCTTGCACTGCAAGTTGCAGTTTGCATGATATCTACCATGTATCAGTGAAACTGTACAACCACCATAAGCTCAATGGATGAGAACGATCCTTGTGGACAGCTTAATCTTGCAAGGTTGACAGTCTTTTGACGAGTGACAAAAACCAAATATGACTGCATTGACTGGCAAAAACAAACTCCGAGTTGATGTGAATAACTCCATTGGTTCTAACTTTGTCTGTACCAAGACTGACATTTCCAAGGAGAAGGTTTTTAAGCGTTGAGACTTGGACCCCCAACCTAGCTGCAACCCTCTGTGCCGGTACATTTTCTTCAACTACAAGTTGATATAGGTGTTATTCAAGTCATCAATACTGTATTTTGACCTATAATGGTCAGTCGTACTGGTCTGAAAGAACATACCGGGTAAAGAAATATCCAGAAACCATGGAACAAATGGTCAAGTATTATAAGAGATGTCATGAAAACGCTTCCATACCTTTATAACCAGCCGTCACCAGATGACGTCGGTCAATGGTATAACGTCGACAAACATTGTTAACTAAGCAGACAATGCCAACAGGCAAATTTTAAGAAGTTCAGTTCTGCGATTTTCAACACTATAGAGGATACAATTGGTAAAAAGTTTCCAGAGTATATATCAACGTTTTAGTAACTATAGCAGTAATACCTTCCTGATTTCCACTTGAGAGGGTCAAGATGACATGAAGACGAAAAGCACATGCTCTTTGACAATAACCCCAGAAATATGACAGCAGAAAACAGGAGACTGTCAAATTCAGGTGACGTTGGGATATATGACGAGGGTACAAAATCCTGTTGTCAGATAGAGATGTGATAAACATTTCTGTCCTCATCAACAATGTATTCAATATTCTATTTCCCATCTGCGAGGAAATGACAAAACGACAATTTTCAAAACATGTGTTGGAAACAGTAAAACCAACAGGGTGTCTGGAGAAGTGTTGGAATTTGTTGTGAAGCGATTAGTATCTGTTCCATGTGGGGTCATTCACCTCGGCGAAAGGAAGGGAGAAGCACGTAATAAAACACGTTGCATGCAATAAAATATAACAAAATTCCTACAAGGGTCAAAGGTCATCTGTACATAACGTGACATACAAACCTTGAGTTTCTTAAGGTATCCCATTCTTCTAATATCTGATCCCGGCCTTTCAAAAGCTTGAGGAAAGATCCGACCCTTGTCAAATCGTTCCGAGGCCATGTTTCGATCTATTTCGACTTAACTTTAGCGAATGTTTGCGTCAGATTTGGTCAGTCGTTGTCAAACTTGGTTCTTATGACAAATAATGCCATTTCGTCACCAAACTCTTGCCCTGTTTCAAATGCCCATCTCACAGGTGGGTCAATGCCCGATCACATATTAGGCCAGTTAGTGCATTGCTAGCCCATCCTCATCAGCTCAATCCACATCGGGATTGCAGAATCCATTTTCAGTCCTGCAACACCGCTGTCAGCTCACATCATGGATTTAGCAAAGAATTCACATTGTAACGCGTGCATCCGATAGCGGATATTACACTGGGCTTGATTGCAAAACACCCGAGCTTTCTCTCTGTCACAACTCAAGGACGACTCAGCTAATGGCCGCCATCATGGTCACGTGGGCTACATTTTGCTTGTAAACAACTTTTGAGCATGCGTGAATTGAAGGTCACGGGGTCAACTGGTACATTTCATTCACAGTGCAGATCTTGATTATTCCAGTCTCTTTTCCGTATGCTGTCAGATCAGGCGATATTTCCTTATAGACGATGGCTTTCGTCGTAATTTATAAGACAAATATGAAATGTTTACTGCAACGTGTATGACCTAATTCTGGCAAACAAGTGACAAGTTAATTTGGTGTTATCAGAAAGATCACCGAAGCATGGGACACGATAAAAAGCTAACATGTTTCACCTGAACATTGCCTTTCATCAAGAATCTATATAGATCTAATAAAGTTGAATGAGTTTGGACTAAACGGTTTTTCAGAATCAGCTTATAATTTGGGAGGAATTAAATTAACACTATGGATTCCAAGAAAATTCTATTTGGGCACATTATTATAAGATCTGAAAAGGGAATATTGTGCGGTCGTTCGGAACTGCATGGGCCTACCCCAGGCTATAACCTTACTCCGGCATGTTGAATATTAACTCCGACATACTTAGAACTAGTCCATTTCTCAGTCAGCTCATTTGTTGAGAATTTGCTGTGGATAACGACAATATAAAATGTTTGTATTGATTTGTTCACGGTTAACCAATCTATTCCAACACTAACATCAATATTGACTGTTTACGTTTTAGTTACGTCATCACAAATAATAGTGAGTGAGTGAGTTGGGCTTAACGCCGCTTTTAACATTATTCCAGTTATATCACGGCGTGTCAGCTTAATGTGGGAGGAAAGCCCGAAGTGATGCAGGTCTCAGACGTTTACCACTTCGGTGAAACCCACGAGCACGGGTATGGTGCTGACAAACCTAGAAACATAATCGGGGCGAACCGGGATTCGAACCCACAATCATAGGTTTCTGGCGTGTTCAAGGGACCCAACTCTGCACAGCGAATCGCGGCGCCTTAGACGGCTGGGCCACCCGTGCCCCCTCATCACAAATAATAAGAAATGGTGATATAATACTACACAAAAAAGGAAGTAATAGCGATATGGATAGCCCTAATATGTGAATTAGCGCCTAGAATATGCACTCATTCACTGATGACCCGTCTAAAGATCCGAGGTAGAATAGGTCTTCATGCAGCAACCCATGCTTGTCGAAAACATGGTAAAAGGCGAGCTATGCTTGTCGTAAGAGGCGACTAACCGGATCTGGTGGTCAGGCTCGCTGACTTGGTTGATGCATGGCATCGTAACCCAATTACGTGGATCGATGCTCATGATATCAATCACTGGATTGTCTGGTCCATACTGGATCATTTACAGACCGCCGTCATATTGCTGAGTGCGGCGTTAAACAACAAACAAACACACATTCACTGATTGTGTAAGTGTAATTGATGTTGCACCATTATTAATGGAGCATTAGCCTCAAACAATTATCATCTTATGAAATGAATTCCTGAAAATTTGACAACCTTTGACGCCATGGCTTGTTTTATGTCTTTTGTGACTTCACAAAAAGACGATACTGCTATATTGATTGATATAAACTGACGTCCAAAAGAAACTTTACCAACTGAAAATATAAATTTCAGACAAAGTATAAAAAAAATTTCAATGAAGTCTGTCTAAAACACATAACCTAAATACAACAATAGTGTATGCAGAAAATGTTAATCGTCGGTTACATGTTTGGGAGATAACACGCGAAAAGGGAAAAACACGTGCACCACGGACAACTGCAAATGCACGTGCGGGTAATTAAGGGTATAAAACGATTGCAACGGCAAGTCAGACATCCACAGTGATAATCAAACACAAAAGAAATGCCACGACTCACAGTCGAACAACGTGAACAAGCCTTGGGTATGGTACAGATGGGAGCCACCCACGCCCATATTGCACGAACCTTCGGTTGCTCCCGTGTTGCCGTTACCAACTTGATGCAACTTTACAGACAGACAGGGCGGACCGCTGACAGGCCAAGAACAGGCAGACCCAGGGTGACCACGCCCCATGATAACCGGTACTTGCGTACCTTGCACCTCCGAAATCGCTTCCTGACAGTGACGTCGTCGGCGACAAATGCCTTAGGTCACAGGGTTAGTCGACAGACAGTGGCCAGGAGACTCAGGGCTCATGGAATCAGGGCTTTTAGACCATACAGAGGACAGCTATTGACAGCGCAACATCGTCGTCTGCGATTGAGATGGGCCCGGACTGTACGACGTTGGCAACGACGTGACTGGCAGAGGGTTGTCTTCACTGACGAAAGTCGATTCTGTATGTTTAGCGCTGATGGAAGACAACGTGTTTACCGCCGAAGGGGTGAACGAACGGTGGCGTGTTGCGTGCAGGAGGTCGTACCATATGGTGGAGGGAGTGTCATGGTGTGGGGAGGGATCTGTGGGCAGGAGAGGAGACCGCTGGTCATCGTTGACGGAAACTTGACAGTTCAGCGTTACATGAATAACATTCTTCGTCCAGTTGTCCTACCATTTCTCCAACAGCAGCCACGTGGTGTCATTTATCAGCATGACAACGCTAGAGCCCATACAGCCAGAATCGTCACTAACTTCCTCGCAGCCAACAACGTCAACGTCCTGCCGTGGCCTGCACGCTCACCCGACATGTACCCCATAGAACACCTCTGGGACTTGATGGATCGTCGTGTTCGACAACGACCACACTCTCCAGCCAACCGGCAAGAACTGATCTTGGCCCTCCAAGAAGAATGGCGTCAAATCCCACGTGACCTCATCAGACGACTGACTTCTGTGCGTCGAAGAGTTTTTGCGTGTATTGAGGCATTTGGTGGTCACACACGCTACTAATGACTTGTTATTGAACGTGAGCGATTGTTTATGTACTCTGCCTATTGTCCATGATTCTGAAAGCTCGAGTTTTGTACCACACCCAACTTTGGGGGGCTCTGACGTCATTCTCGGTCGCGGTATGATTGTCATTTTCAGTGTTGATTATGTTGATATATTGATCTTCTCAATACACTTTACTTCATGCATGTATGTTTTGTTGTTTTTGGGCAAGAGTGATTTCAAACTCTGGTAAAGTTTCTTTTGGACGTCAGTTAACTTTATATCTCGCCTAATTTGAATGCTGCTTTTACCATGTAAATAATGTCTTTGAAATGATGAAAAAGGGGTTCGTTTATATACTTTGACGAGACGCGCACCTGTTAGACACTAATATTACATAAATCAAATACTCAAAAAGAAACCCAAACAAACAAATAGATATAACTAAATATCAGACGTGTATGTGTTTCATTAGAATGTGCTTACTCTCTTCATTTTGTCTCAGTTTTATACATATATTTTAAGAATAAAAGATTCGAAGAAGGCCTTTCTAATGAGGAATTATCGGGACAAATCGAATAAGGCTCCCCCAACGGATTGGGTATATTTACTATTTTGATAGACATTTAGTAAGCATACAAATATCCTTTGAACACAACATTTAAGAAATTATGGAACGTTATTAAAGTATTCAACATGCAGCGGAGTAATTGTAAATCGTTTGTGATAAATACGCATGGCACCTGGCGTCAATGTTCTGTCAATCAAACGACCAAAAACAATTTTGAAACACGTGTTCCTTATGATAATATGTGCATATACGTATTACAAATATCAATAATTTTATTAAAATAATATATTGAGTTTTAAATGAAATCTAAAAAGAAATGGCTATTCATTGACCTGCTTAAATGGAATTAAAGGAATGAATATTAAACTCCAAAGGAAGTACATACACATTCCAGAACAGGAAGTACTACATGCTGCAGCTATGAACATTGACTTCTAAAGATAGGAAATACAGCATAGGACACGACATTTGTAAATTTCCCATGCAAACAATGTTCAAACAAACATTAGATTGTCAGAGTTTCACGTGCTCGACCATATATATATTTATAGTATATATAGATTCAATAATCTTGAACGCGACGTTAACCCCAATTTCACTTCCCCAAACAGTTTTTTTCTGATTTGGCGGAACAATTGTATATACCTAGGGTGTTCTCATTTGGTGGAACATTTTCTATATAACTAGGGTGTTCTCATTTGGTGGAACATTTTCTATATAACTAGGGTGATCACATTTGGCGGGGAAAACAAATGTATATAGCTAGGATGTTCTCATTTGGCGGAACAACTTCTATATAACTAGGGTGTTCTCATTCGGTGGAACATTTTCTATATAACTAGGGTGTTCTCATTTGGCGGGGAAAACATCTAAATAACTAGGATGTTCTCATTTGGCGGACCAACTTCTTTATAACTAGAGTGTTTTCATTTGGCGGAACAATTTCACTACTCAAGGTCTTGTCGTTTCGCGGTGCAAATTCCAATATGCTCCTGCAGGGATATCTGTTTTGGCAGAATAACTGCTGATCAATACCCATGCAGCGATCTCTGATTAGTGGAGATTTGTACAAACTCTCTGGAAGCCGAGTTCAATGTCTGAGGCAGAGTTTTATAAATTCTTAAAATTACATGTTGTGCCAGAATTGCGGTCGCCCACAACTGGGTCAACCACCAACTATACCATTACGCAGAAATGTAGAATATCAAAATTCCTATCCGGAAGTATAAAATTGTACTACAACTATAATCTTGGTTTGAAAGACAAACAGCGTTAAAGGTTGTCCGAATATTTGTCATTCTTAAATAAGAACACTTTTAATCGTTCACCGAGAAAAGTACTGTGTGAAAAAAATGTTTATTGTGACAGCATTATGAAAACTACTGCCTAGTAGCTGAAGAATATCATAATAAATCACACTGATGTGGAAGCTTATGTATGACGTGGCACATTCGATACGAAAAATACCTTGTCATAAAAGACGAAAATCGTATATGAGGTCGACAAACACAAATGGAGCAAAAGTCCGCTAGGCCACTGTACATGGCTCGTCGTGGTGAGCTTTTGCTACTGACCACGCCAATGCATTTTCGTATGGTTTTGCCAAAATAAAGTAAATAAAC